GTACCGGGTGAAGGAGAAGGTGCTCTAAAAACCATATCTGGAGTATGATGTTACAACCCTCAAAGAAATCTTTCCCTTCCTGACATTTGGTTAGGGCACGGTAAATATCTGACAATACCATAGGAATGATAGTGACATCCTTTCCACGCAATAAAGCGGTAACTATGCCAAATAATCGAATATAAATATTTTTGTCATGCCTCCCAAAAAACCATCGTCCCTAGAAATGCTACTAGGAAAGCTCTCCGCCCATGGATTTGCCAAGCTTTGTATCCAATTTTATTCTCAAGCTCTTTCCCGTGCTTTGAAAATCCACCCGGACACCCATACCTGTCGTACAAGAAATCTAATCGAACGTGCCCTCGTTCCACACTTGCTACTTTATTTTAGCTGATTGTCATTTGCTCAAGGAACTTACTGCCAATGACATCCCTTGGGGCCAAGGGTCTCTTCTTCCGAAGCTCATCGCCTAACTTTGTGTATCCAGCTAACTCTTCTAAAGTGGGAGTCATTTCTAAACCATCAAAACGGAATACATTGTTATTAGGATCTCAGAAATGCACCAACGCCTCGATTAAGTCCCCCCTTGGGTTGATCTCCATAATATTCACAAAGTTACCCAGATGGTCCTTTATCTTTTCCTGCTCACAAACGCCCATATTTTTCAACCATTTCCTCAGCAACCGGGGTGTTTTATGCACAAGCCAAATCTGCAAGGGCTCATCATCTTTTGAATTTTTATCGGGTCTTCCACTTACTGAATTCATATCTTACCTGGATAAATAAAAATGTGAGGTCAAGTCCTAATATAAACTCGAAGAAATGACACCAAGCAGACTTTTGGATAAGACAATGAACGAACTTCTTAGTGGAGAATTCCTCGTATTGAAGGATCGGTCAACTAAGACCCAACTGATCAAACTTGATTGATATGTCAAATTTGGACGAAAAGGACCAGACTCTAGGATGACTAACCACGTATCTCACCGAGGAAACAAGACATGATAAAAACCGGCCGACCGAGGAAAAACGATAAAAGGTGACAAGAGGGACAAGATGGTTATTCTTATGAAAATGGTTCTTCAGTACTTCGAAGGGAAGTACTATGGCTGTCTCGGTAAAAACATCCGTACACATGGATAAATGGGTAAAAGCAGACAAAAAATTCATTCTTTTACGAAAACAGCCATTATGGTACTTCCAAAAAAAAAGTTTTAAAGTTGACTCGGCTAAGATGGCCGGAAATAAGGGCAACACGGCAAAATGTGAAAATAAATAAACAAAAATGAATATTTTGCGAAAATAGCTCCTCGACGCTTCCAAGGAAGGCTGTCCTAGCAAAACAACCGGAATACAAGGGCAAAATTAGTAAAAGGTGACCAAAAATAGCAATTTTTTATTATTATTATTTTTTTCGAAAATTTTATGCACATGCGTAACTTTTATGCTTTTTTTTAAAAAAAACAAAAGAAAGATATGGGCTAAACCTGATGGAGGTTACCTACGTATCTCACTGGGTAGTGAGAATCAAGCCCGTGTAGTTCGATGAAACCGACTATTTATTTTCTGATTTTTATGAAAATTAATCATTACACCTCACTTCAGTCTACTTCAAAATTTTAGTAAAAAAGGATTATTTATACTAAACTAGGAGAATTTTTTTTTTGTTTTAATTCTGCTCAACTAATTTTCTAAAGCCAGTCAACAATGCAAGCAAGCCTTCCAAATGATGTAGCAAATAGCACATAAGTGAGCATGATGGTCTCAAAGAGGATACCTGTCCTATACGGACCCGGCTCCTGTGCCAAGCTCCGCTAAGTAAAATATACGTGATGCAAATAAAGCGAACCTACTAGGGATATTCGGCATGAGGTTTGTTTTTCTAGGTTTAAATCCTAGTGCAGAATGTATCTAGACTGGCTTATTCGAGCAGACAACTCGAGTCGAGGAGGTTCAGCGCCAGTAGCATTGCTTTCCGGCTTAGCTGGTGGTGCCCCCGCCTAAAACATGTGTGACTAAAATCCATCACCGTGTGACAAGCACCTCGGCTATCTCAAAGAAAGCGGGCTATGTCAAGCAAATGCCCAATTTTTAATTTCAAGAAGACTCAGAGGGTTGCGTGAGAAGACAGTTTATATGTACTGTTCAACAATATCAAATCGATAAAAAGCAAACAAGTAGCACATTATGCCCAAATAAATTACAGTATATACAAAATTAATTAAGCCAAACAAAAGTCAACATGTACAAGCTCAAATTCTAGTTTTCCACAATAGAGTCGCCAGAGCTGTCACAACCATTTTTCTTACCCCCAAAAAATAATATGTGTATGGGTTTGTGGGTTAAAGAGTTTTTCCAATTGAAGTGACAAATTTGAGTAGGGATTATTTTATTTACAGAGTCGCCACTTGGAATTGATTGTTGGTGTTCCAAGTCACCTTTTATTTGAATCCCTAGCCAAAGAAGGTTTGACTCTTTTATTATTGGTCTGCGAAAACAAAGTCCGGATAAGGAATTCTGTTGACCGGGGAGAAGGTGTAAGGCATTCCCCGAATCCCGTGGTTCTAGCACGGTCGCTTTATTGACTTAAAACTTGGCTTGAATTAATTTTCGACGAACTGTGATTTATATGTATTTTCATGTTTTACCTATCCGCTTTTAATTATTAAAGTTGTTAAAAAAAATATGATATAAATAGTATAAAATTGTCCTGACCGTGCTACGAAAGCGAATGTGCGACCAAAACGAATTTTATTAATTTTGTCGTAACAGCGCTACACAAGCGAATCCACAGTTATGACAAAGGATTATTAGCACGCTATTATTTTCAGAAAAAATTACTATGTTTGTGCTTTGAGAAAATTATTTATTTAAAAGGTTACTATCGCTATTAAAAAGTTACTATCGCGCTACGCAAGCGAATCCGCGAGTGGTGAAAGGATTAAAAATGTAACTAAAACTATAGATATAGTATGAGACTAGTGAATTAAATTATTGAATGTTAAATATCACGCCACGCAAGCGAATCCGTGAATGAAAAGATTTAAGCGTGCCTACTAATTGCCTAGCGCTTCAACTAATAAGAAAGAAAATGTGTTAATTATTTAATAACAGAAATTTGATTTTTATTATTATCTTCTACCCTTATGGTTGGTAAAATTATACAAATAAATGTTGGACCAACTCAATCTATTTTAAAGAAATAGGCCAACTTCTTGTTAAAAAAGAGAAATGGGCCAGCTTACGAATTTTAGAAGATGGGCCAGCTATTTATTTATGAAAAATTTTCATAAAGCACTATCTTTTAGTAGTAATTAGCCATCTATAGATACCATTTGATATATTACGGATTATAAATACCTTTTCTGTGGTTATATGATGTATTTGATGTATTTAAGCTATTGTATTCATGAATACAGTAGCAAAAATAGGCGTGAATCAGGGAAGTCCAGCTAATCAGTTGTTGTATTCGAGTGTATTCACCTGTATTCATGGCGTGAAACATGGGATTACAGCTGGACAGATTACTGTATTTGACTGTATTTAACTGTATTCACAGCGTGAAACAGGGGATTACACTATTTTTAAACGGAAAGTGTATCAATTAACATAATAGACTACTAATATAACTCAACAAACTCAATTATAACACACAAAATTTGTATTTTCGGTTATAAAAAAGATTCTCAACTGGAAAAAAACCCCAAAAACATAGCAATCTTCAGATAAATTATATAATGCATCTGAATACATAAATTATATTAATTGAAAAAATATATGAATACGTAGAATACAGCGGGATACATTGAAATACAATGAAAAAAAAAGACAGTGAATACAATGAAATATCCGAAATACAGCGAGATACATGAATTACATTGAAAAAAAATACAATGAATACAATGAGATACATGAAAATAAAGCGTGATACGTTGAAAATACATTGAAATATATTAATAGAAAATCAAGTTGCTCAGCCCCAAACTCCGTCGTCTTTGCTCAACAACAAACCCTAACTTCCGCCTTGTAGCCAAATAGTCCTTCCATCTTCAAAGATCTTGCACGCTCAAACCTGGAGAAAGTGACTGCTTCAAATCTACGTACCTCCACAAGTCTTAGAGATAAAGTCCTAAATCAGGCAACCATTATCTACGTGATCTTTGGCTCCGAACTTCTTCATCCCTTTCACCATGGTGGAGGCGAGCTCATTTGTCCCGGTCCTTGTTATCTTTTTTTTTTCAGATTCATATCTTTTTTGTCTTCTTTCATCTCTCCAATCATCATATTCCTTTGAAGTCGGTACATCATCATGCTTTCTTGATTTTCTTTCAGTATCTTCGATCTTCTCTCCACGGTTTGTTGTCGTTGTGCGTTAGAAGGAGGAGGAGAGCGGAAATTTTAATGGGATGGGGGAAGAGAATGGGATGTATCAAAGTAGAGAGAGAAAGAAAATAGTGTAACTGATTAGCGTATTTAGTGGCTTAGGGCTAGGAGGTAACCAAAATTAAATATTTTGCTATAAACCTTAAAAGGTATCTATATAATATAATTTTTTTAAATGGTATTTATTAAAATAAATAAAGTGTTAACCTTTGCTATAGGAGGAAAAAATTCCTTTATTTATTTCTTAAAAGAAAGAAAAAAATGAGCCACCTAGATTAGTTTTGCATTGGGCCTAAAGAATTGAGTTTTTGGCTCAACTTCTTTGTTTGTTGAAACATTCAGCCCTTTCCCACACCCCTTTATCTTTTATTCAGTTTTATTTTTTATTTGACTCCTAATTAGTTTACTGATTTATGCTCACTCATCACAATGACTAAAGGTACAATAACAACATAAACACTTAATAAAAATAAATAATAAAAGGAACTACATATGAAATAAACTTTCTTTTATATATATATATATATATATTCCTGGAATGAAAATGTTGTTAACATACACTTCTTTCAACTTTCAATATAAGAAACTTACTTCAAACACCAATTCTAAGAAAAAGATAAATTAAACTAACATTACTTTATTGCGACTTGTAGCCAAGTAGACATATTTCGGAATTCAAACCACATGTCGAAATTGAAAACTAAAGCATTTCTTGACATAACCAGTATTTATAAACAAAACATGCGTACTTACCATTTCATAAACTAGAAAATATGCATTTTGTAATTAACAAAGAGCTCAAGTTAAAGCTCTAAACTTTATTACATCAAATTCAGGATAATCTGAGTGCTACATAGTTGAGATGAATACCTGGATAGCAAAAGAATAAACAGCAGTGAGGTGGGCAGAAACAACAGCAGAAATAGCAGAAAAAACAGCAACAACCAGCAGTGAATCCGTGTTAAAACAGCTCAGAAATCTTACTAACAGTAGTGATTCTTTGGGAGAAGGAACTCAAGAATCAAACTCTAAGACTCTTATATGTTTTTTGAAAGATTTTACATTCTAAGACTCAACCAAAACTCATGATTTTCAGCTTACTTTTCATGTGTTCAACTGCTGAAATTTTTATGTTTTTGTGTGTTCAAGCAATTCTAAAAAATGTGTATGGAAGTGTGATGGAGTCCCCCCTCTAATGAAGAAAGGGCAGCCCTTAAATAGGCAAAGAAAAGCCAAGTTTTTGGACAGATTTTGGTGAACCAAAATCTGTCCAAAAGAGGCTGAATTTGTGTGCTAAAGGCTGTCCAAAAGGTGAAAGGACAGCCTGAAATCTGCTATGGCAGGAGCCAAAGGGTCATTTCAGCCACCCTACTAAAAGCAAGCTACTAGTACCCTAGTTTATGATAAAAATATCTAATTTCAGATTTTAACAACACCAATATCAACCTATTGATTCAAATTAAACCAAGTATTAAAACATGTAATTAAACTTCAACACATGTATTATCAACCAACATGAGCAAACAAAAATTAACTATTAAAGCCAAACGGAACTCACACTATCGCTGAAGCAATTTAACAAAACCAACTAGACAAACATAATCAGAAATGGATTAAATAAAGAAACAAGACAGAAACTAACTCTAACAAAAACCCAAAAAAGAAACAAAAAATTAATACGGGGCAGAGGATTACGATTTACCATATACTCGAGTCATCCGGGAAATGATGATAGGAAGTGGTACGACTTCGAGCAAGCTTCTATTGTTGATATTCTTGAAACCAAAAACTCCGGCGAATCCGAGTCCGATTTCAATGATATCAACGACACAACCTTGCTTGGGGCCGATTTGAGGAGAGAAACGAGAGGCAGCGGGTGAGGGTGGCAGTGACACGGCGGCGGAACGGCGACAGTGGGGGTGGCTGCCGGCGGTGGTTTGGGTTTTTTGAGGTTTTGAGTTGGAGATATGGAAAGAGGGGGAGAAGAGGAAGCCGGTGGTGTAAAATTTTGGAATTTGGGGTGGTGGGCGGCGGCTAGGGTTTCGGATTTTTGTAGATCTATGGAGATTGGTCGAGATTTGGAGGATATGAGTGGTATAGGTAGCAAGAGGAGGAAGAGGGGAAGTGATGGTGAAATTTTGGGGTGGATTGGAGGGTTGCCGCCGGCGGCGACGATTTCCGGCCGGCGGCGGTGGCGGAGCTGAGAGGGAGAGAAGAGAGAGTGATGAGAGGGGAAGAAGAAAGGAAATAAGGGGAAAATGGGGGAAAATTTTGGGGGTTTTAGGCTTTAAGTACCTAGGATGAAGAACAAACTAGGACCGTTGGATCAAGTCAAGATGGGTGCCCATGATTAAATCTTGATTCACTTAATGAAATGACGTAGTTTTGAGGCAAAACTACGTAATTTTAAATCCTTTCAATGGCAGTCCTTTATCTTGCACTCTTGGCCACTTTTTCTTTTAAATTTGGCCAAATTTCTTTCTTAATCCTACTTATTAAACTAAATTTACACAAACAAATAAATTAATTAAGTAACTTATTCAAATGATTAATTAACTAGATTGATTCACCAATTGAAAAGTTAGTTGATTCCTAAAATTCATAAATGAAGGAAAAACTATTATTTTTTGATATTATCATGATAAAAATATGCAATTAAAGACACAAAATTTGAGAAAAATAATTAAAATAACAAAAATACTAATAACTTTAGGAGGTGTTAAAATAGTACAAAATTAGGTGTTCACAGGAAGAGATGAGGCTACCTGGGAAGACTAGGTTATTTGAAGAGTGAGTTCCCCAAATTTGTAGTTCAGCTAGCTCAGAGTCGACCTTGAGGACAAGGTCGTTCTTCATCGGCGGAGTATTGTTAGGTTACTTAGGTTGTCTGAGAAGAGGGAAAATGAAGCTAAATGAATGGATTAGGGTTATAAACGTAAGGAGCTGAAGCAGACACGTGACCTTATCTTGAGCGTGTAACGGGACATGTGTTAGATTAGAGATAACAATGGGTGCACAAGTTGACGGTCCAGATCTAATCATTTAGTTAGAATCCAACGGTTGATGATTATTCTAATGTGCTATTAATGCCATTAGTTGTACCAAAATTGGCATGTCATTACCGGTAATTCAACTACCTCCCTCTCTCTATATTCTCTCTTTCTCTCTCTTCGATCTTTTTCCCCAAAATCTCATTCTCTTCTAACCTAATCCTCTTCTTCCATTTTAGAAACTCCATTGAAGCTCACTACAACTGGGCATTATCATTTAGAGTAGTTGAAGTTGTAATAGTAGACTCTAATTGTAATTCAGTTGATTGAGCTAATAAAATTCCTTAATTCTTCTTTCTATTTAATTTCACATTCAATTACATTACAAAAATTCTTACTCGTTCTTAAAATACTAGAGTCATCACGATGTCCTGATAATTTGAGGTCTCTGGGTTCGAACTCTATCTTGATAGGAAGCACTTCCTCTTTAATGAGTCTTATACGTCCAGAAAAACACAAATACTGAAAACTAGTGGAGAGGAAACCCCAAAAAAATTAAGATCAACAGTTGATAGCTAATGAAAAGACTGCAGCGGTGGTGATTGATTATACTTTGGATGACAGGACTATGTACCGAGTAGAGTTTGCTCGTGCCATGTCTGAATTTTCAGAGTTTAGTGTTCTTACTGGATCCCAAAAAGAGGTTCGGCATCTGCTCCCATCTAATCAATGCGAATTATTCGTGTGCCAGGAGAACTTGAATATTAATATCGCGGATATCTGAAAATTAAAAATAAATATTTGTGTATATTTGAAACTTCGGTAGTTGTACATAGTTATACTTGGTTAGATAAAAAAATTTCACAAAAAAGAATTCATTTTATTTGAAAATTCATTTTATCTTATGTTAGCCCTGAGGCCTTACCAAAAAATACCCCCCCCCCCCCTTCCCTTTCCGACATTAGCCCAATAGTAAACTAAATCATCTGTGTTAATTGAAGCAGTGACTGGTTTTAGTCAGTTGGCAAAAGTTTTACCTCTTTTGTAATATGTGGGCTAATCCAGAGGCGGATGCAGTGTATTATCTACGGGTTCAACTGCAACCATAATTTTTGACGCGGAGTAAACATTTGTATATAAAAATTCATTAGAATTGAAAAAATAGTAGATATGAACTCATAACTTTAAAAATATAATGGGTTCAATGTTGAAAACCTTAATATTGCACCCATAGGATTTAAATCCTGAATCCGCCTCTGGGCTAATCATACCTACTTTTTTACCGGATAACAATATGGTGCGGCGACGTTATTTCTACACCATCACATAGATAATCATCAATAACAAAACATCTATATTTACTTAAAAGGAAGAAAGTTAGCCCTGAAAATTTGCCAAGTGTTCCACATATAAAATGCCATGTAGCAACTTTAGGACAAATTAATTATTTTAGGTAAAATTAGTTTCTCCTTTTAAATTTTAAATTTAAAAACAATTAGTAATTACGTATTCTATATATATTTTTTTAAAAAAGCTACGTTAATTCTACATTTAAAAGAAG